CTTGAAGTGTAAGGACATAGCTCAGTGTGTGTGGGGGACACTGTTACCCACCCTAACAGTAACTTTGGACAGAAATGTTTGATACAGATTTTGTTATGAACAGGATATTCACGTTATACTTATGTTACAGTTATGAACAGAATATTCACGTTATACATCGTTTTGAAAATAAACGATTTGGTTATATGAGCTTCTATCCTTGTCCCTATTGATCTTGTACATGTGCGTATCCGAACGTGTCCTGGGTGGAAATACTTAGTATGGTAAAGGTTTTTGAAAGCTCTGGTATATGGAATTTGTACGTATCCTGCCTAATGGGAATATGGCAAAGATCATTTTTCGAATTTTAGGTACAGGGTTATTTCCCCGATGCGTTTTGTTTGCTTTAGGTTCCTGAACAAAAAAATATGGAAAATCATTTGAAAAATCAAGTGCACACTTGTCAGGATCCGCGGTCATTGTTGTACGTATCCGGGAAAAATCTGAACGTATCCTGTGTGGAATGCTACAAGGATCCGTGCTCCAGATTTGTGCGGCCAAAAAGGCTACGGATTGCAGTAACCGATCTTTCGGATTTATGACGGATTCCATTCCGTGATCCGCCAGTATCCGATTGTATCTGCCAACAATTCCAGAAAATCCCGGTACGTATCTGCCAAGACACAAGGTCTTTTCTGTACGTATCCTGGCAAAATCCGAACGTATCCTGTGTGTAACTACAAGGATCCCGTATTCCGGATTTGTACGGGATAGGCTCCGGGTTGAAGTATCCGATGTTTCGGATTTCTTACGGATTCCATTCCGTGATCCGTCAGTATCCGCTTGTATCTGCCAACAATTGCAGAAAATCCCGGTACGCATCTGCCAAGATCCAAGGTCTTTTTTGTACATATCCTGGTAAAATCCGAACGTATCCTGTGTGGAATATTTACTACAAGGATCCTGGATTTCGGATTTGTACGGAATAGGTTCCGGATAGCAGTAACCGATGTTTCGGATTTTCTGGCGGATTCCATTCTGATCCGTCAGTATCCGCTTGTATCTGTCAGGAATTCCGGAAAATCCCGGTACGCATCTGCCAAGATCCAAATTCTTTTCTGTGCGTATCATGGCAAAATCCGAACGTATCCTGTGTGGAATATTTACTACAAGGATCCTGGTATTCCGGATTTGTACGGAATAGGTTCCGGATTGCAGTAACCGATGTTTCGGATTTTCTGGCGGATTCCAATCTGATCCGTCAGTATCCGCTTGTATCTGCGAAAAATACGGACAAATCCCGGTACGCATCTGCTAGAATCCGAGGCCATTTCGTGCAGTGTCAATCCAGTTGTATATAATGGCGAGAGACCAAGCGTACTTGAAGTTAGCGGCTTTCTCGGGAGATAGGGGGGAGGATATGTCTCACATTAAGACCAATGAGATTCTTCAGTTCCCAGACAATAGCGGTTTGATATTCAACCACACGTTGACAAAAACGTTGAGGGGAGGTTCGACGAGAGTCTTTGCCGTGGTGAGGTGTGAGAACGTTTTCTTGTGCCCGGTGACAGCTATTGAATGGTACATCCAGGTGTGTAAATTGATTGGCATTGATGTTTCCAAGGGGCCGTTGTTCAGAAACACAAAAGGGGGCAAGGTCCTGGAAGAGCCTTTCTCGGCAAAAGCTGCTGGAGCCAGACTGAAAACGTATCTCCAGAGGTTACACCTCGACGACGGGGAAACACTACATGGGATACGAGCGGCGGTTGCGATTATGCTAACAATGGCGGGGGTAGGAAGACAGGAGGTGTTATCCCACATGGGGTGGAAAACACCATCCATGGTAGACCATTATACGAAGGTAGCTCAAGTGCTGAAACCTCAGGGGTCAGGTCAGGTCCTGGCGAGTTTAGCGAAAGGTCAGACCCCGCTGGCTGCGAGTCTCGCCTTGATTTACAGGCAGAATAACGAACTGTCAGGCTTTAAACAGGCGTTCCTGTAAGAAAGTTAGAATCGTAATAAAGAATGTGCACCTGCCTTGTTGGATGTGTCTTTATGTGTCTTTGCCTGTTTGGACATCAGTTTGAAAAAAAAAAAAAAAAGAGCGTGAGAGGAGTGGGTAAGGAATGGGAAGGGGAGAAAACAAGGGTAAGGATCGGGGGTAAAGGAGAAGGAACTAGAAGAGGGGAGTCGGGGACAGGGGAAAGGTGCCCAACGATCGCGGCGTAGCCGAGGTCTTCACCACCCAATCCTTAACCGATCACCTAGGCGAGAGTGGAAATATATAATTATTCCCAGTAACGTCACAATGGACGGACATCTCGCGAGACTACGTCTACGCGAGAGGTCAGGCCATGTGACAAAACCCTTTCACTTCACCAGTTTTTGCGAAGCGGGGGGTAAGGAAAGGTAGCAAGGATCTATCATTAGCCCAGTGCACAGTAGAGGATACGAGGTGAAGGAAGCAGAGTGAGGGGAGCGCCGACGGTAAGAAGCTCCCACCCACCCACCCACCCACTGATGGACGGATCGGTGACAGGGAGGGGACATTCCACAATGGCTCGCAGAGGTCTTCACCACCCAATCCTTAACCGATCACCTAGGCGAGAGTGGAAATATATAATCAACAGTTTCTGCATCGGCCAGTGGTGATGATCACCAGTATGAAGATATTGACTCATGGCAGGGTCAGTCTCAGGCCATCACTGCATCCAACACAAACACCACATCTACTGTAATGACCGGTGGTCATGATCAGGCATGGCAGTTTCAGTCTCAGACTACCATTCCATCTTTCAACGTTGGAAATTTTACACATGACCAAGTCCTAGCTGCCTTAAGGCCAAATCCTAGATATGTAGCTGTGGGAACAACAACAACGGGCCCTAGAGCATGTACAGAATTGGTCGGTAGTCATGATCAGACAGGACAGGGTCAGTCTCAGGCTATCACTGAATCCAACAGAAACACCACAGCTGCTGTAATAATCAGTGATCATGATCAAACCGGTCAGGGACAGTCTCTGGCTAACGCTGAACTATTGGATGTTAGAAATCTATCTTATGGCACTATTCCGACTGCCTCACAGCTAAATTCTCTATACAAAGCTGAGACTGATTCGCAGACCATCACAAATACAGCTACTGTAATGACCAGTGATGATGATCAGACAGGGCAGGGTCAGTCTCAGGCTAACAGTGAATCCCTGGATGCTAGAAATTCATTTTATGGCACAAAGCAGACTTCCTCACAGCTAAATTCTCTTTACAAGAGCAACTGTAATGAAATGCAGTGGTCATGATCAGACAGGGCAGGGCCAGTCTCAGGTTAAACTGAATGATTGGATGTTAGAAGTCTATCTTATGGCACAAAGCCGACTGTCTCACAGCCAAATTTACTGTACAAAACAGCAAATGTAATGACCAGTGGTCATGATTAGACAGGACAGGGTCATTCTGATGCTCAATCTGCAACAGCTAGTTGCAAATCTGTCCCATAATGAAATGCTCGCTGCCTTAATTATATAGTCAAACCCCATGTATTTACCACAAAAGGACTCAAAATCTACAGTAATGGCTAGTGGTCATGACAAAGCAGGACATAGTCTTATGCTTAAACATTCAACCTCTCTTCAGCCTCTAATAACAACAAGAAACACGCTTGCAAGTTGTAGGCCCAAATATTTAGCATCATAGAATGAACCGTTATGTACCTATTAGTACTTACTAAGAAGTCGGTTGGCTGTGCAGACTTTCAGAAAACTTGTTGTTGTAGTAGTGGGCCGAGCGAGAGGTTACCTTTCTGACAAGCAACGTAAAGCTATGTAAAGTTTTCAAAGTAGCTCTCGAATTTGAAAATTCGATGCTTGGGGGCTTAAACTTTCGGGAAAGATAACTAAAACCAAAAGTTCAGTGTGAGAGCCCCTCATGGCTTACTTAATAAGAACTGTACACATGTTCAGATATTAAAGATGTAACAAAACAACAGTGGGTAGTAATAGTTACTAGTACTTAATGACCATTGCCAAGAACAGGGAGTGAGTATTTTGCAATTTTGTGTTAAGTTCGAAATTTAGTAATAGAAAATTGTATTTTATGTAATTCTGCAGAAACTAAGAAACATAAAATTGCCAATCAATATGTTATTTTGAATAGTCGTCATAAATGCTAACGTTTTCAAAATGTTGCATGTATTATGATAATTACACAACATTTTTCACATTATATATTGTGAAAACTTTCACCAATTGCCAGAGCAATGGCGATATATTTCAAACAATGACTGGTTTAACATATATTTAATATGCTCATACAGATATGAATGTGCATTGCATGTATTTAAATGAGCACTTTACTAATTGACATAACGTATGCTTAAGAAGAAAAACTGCACTAACCCCACCCTTTAATTTCTGTTTCATGGTTGGTTTTAAAGGTAAATAAAATAAAGACGTGCACTGCCAACACCCTTTGGTTTCTGGTGAGATAATCCCCGGTGTTTGACGTATAATGCTGTAAAAATGAGACATGTCAGGGGATTCCGACTCAGTATATCTGGGTCCGGGGACATATGGTACCCATACCATTACGGCACATGACTCTTCACAGCCAAACATGCTGCAATCTCTTTATTTAGGGCATAATATCTCAGTAAGGAGGACAACTTGTAAAGGTGTCAGTGCACCTGTTTTGTCCTCCCCTCCACTTGTATATCTTGTGGTAAATTCAAATAAACATAAACAAATAAACAAGTAAGTACAGCTGGTATTTTTTCAAGTCATTTCTAGTACCTTACATATACGTGTACTAGTACTCTTATCAGCACAATTCCGTTTAGTTTCCGTTTTTATTTGTCAAGCTTTACACTCTTTCATGGTGTCTTATCTTCCATATGCATATCAGTGTATAGAGCCTATTATTTTCTTTTATTGTGATCACATATGGTATACATATGTCCGTTAAAGCATTATAGTATAGCTACTGCTACCGCAACCCTATCTTTGCCGATGATACATCAATTAAAAAAGGTACCTAAAGATACATTTTACTATTTAGAAGAAAAATTAAATGAGTCACGTCATCTCTCACACATCTAGCCTACAAACTAACGCGGGATCGCACAGAGCTTAAAAGGATGCGATTTCAACGTTAATCCAAAGACGCCGTCAGTGTTGGGAGTGGGAGCGCCATCAAGCGACTTGAAGCTGAAGGACTGCAGCAGGGTCGAGAAGAACAGGAACAGCTCCATTCTAGCCAGCTGCTCCCCAAGGCACACACGGGTCGGCCTGGAAATGAAGAATAAAGAGTTGTAACACCAGCCTACCCTTTGATAGAAAGTCTGATAGAAATCATTACTGCGGTTCTCATAATGATACATTTTAGCCTTACCTCCTCCAAAAGGCATGAAGGACTCAGGCTTGTTGATGACGTTTCCTTCCGAGTCCAGAAACCTTCCGGGGTCAAACCGGTCCGGATCAGGCCAGTAGGCGGGGTCCATGTGGAGGGAGTGCAGGTTCAGTAGTATCTGGATCAAACAAAATATGCACGCGCATACAGTAAGCATTAACAATAATATTTCAATTAATTTTCAATCCCAGCTGAAAAGGACCGCTTCTGAGTGAAGTTAACTCTCACTTAGTCCACACTGACTTAACTTTATGGTTGATATCCTCTGAAGACTTTATAACTAATGCGAGAGGGCTAGTTATAAATACAGCCAAACATGCTGCTAAACCACAGGAATACAAAGCAAAAAAAATTGCAGTAGTATATAAGTACTGAATGAATGAATGAATGAATGAATGAATGAATGAATACATACATTTTTTTTATTTAGGTGTCTTGCGACTTTTGTCGCCCAGCTTATAAGTCACCAGAGCATACACATAAACATATGTACAGAAATCATAGAAACATAAATCCAAGTCCGAATCAAAAGTACTATTACGACAAGCCGGCACATGCTGGCCTTTTGCAGCATTTACCGGCACAACACTGAGTTTTCAGCGTTGCCTTACCATCTGTTGGCACCGCACTGAGTTCTGCTGTTCCATGAAGCCTTTTGGTAGCCTGGGTGCCGTCCTCCATAGTAACCGCCGGCTCCATATTGTCGCTAACAACCGTGGACTACGGAAGATGGCACCCGGACTTGAGCCTCGAAGAAGGTAGTTAATTTTGAACAGGCCAAAATCAATGTGTGCGCGGATGTCATCTAAAAATTAAATCATCGTGGCTTTTTTTAAATAAAGGGACCATTTATGTAACGTCAAAAAGGAATGTGTAATCTTATCAAACGCATCAATACCTGAGTTTCCTTAGGAATTTGATATTCTTCAACTTTGACCGTCTTTGTTGTGGCGTGGGGGACCGACAGAGGTACGATGGGCCGAATCCTCATGACCTCCAGCAGACAGGCGTTCACGTAGTGCAGCTGGGAACGGTGGGACAGGGTGGGCAGACTCTCACCAACAACGACATCAAGCTCCTGTTGCACCTGTTAAGTATGAATGATTCAAGTCACGGTTAAGGGACGTTGTAAGGTGCCCTAAAAGTCACAAGATATGCAAAGATTATCAATGTTTGACAGTAAGTAGGAAATGCAAAGGAAGAGAATATGAAGTTTCAAATAAAAATGACAAAAGCATAGCCTTAAGCAGATTTGTCACATCTGACATAGAGTACACGTGTTGACAAGTACATGTACCTTTTTCTGGGTGTCTGGGTTCAGAGTCATGTAGAGCAGACTCCACATTAGCGTGTTGGTGGTTGTCTCCGTGCCAGCCAAGAATAGGTTCTGAGCCATGTACAGGACGTTTTCTTCTGTCAGACCCTCCACCTTCTCCTGCTTCTCAACCTCCAGCAGGCAGAAGTCGAGGAAGTCTCGCGGGTTCTCGCGATCCAGGTTCTCGCGATGATGAGATATCTCCTCTCTTAACACATTTGTAATCTTTAAGACCTCATTTAGTGCATTCATGCCGGCTCTGTTCACTGTAACGTATCAAAGGAAATGGCTACACATAAATACTTTTTTGTCACAAAATAGCTCAGCAAATTTCCCCTCGGTATATTCGATGCTTTTAAAATGATTTATTTAAACTTAAGACTCATGTTATCTACTGGACTAAATAAGAGTATCAAATTTGAAAGCATTATACCTACCAACAGGAACAAACCGAAGAAAGGGGAAGACGCTGAGGATCTGTCCAGCACCAGCTTCAATCGCTGACCTGACAACCGCCTCTGACAGTTCCCTGAACGTCTCGTCCTGGTAGTCGTACCGCTTCCCCATCACCATGGAACAGACGACGTTTGCAACCGCTACGGTCACGTCATGGGTGATGTCAGTGGGGTTTCCATTGTATTCTGCAACCTAAACAGATTTTTCTGTCATAAGTTTGTCTAGATGGAAATGATCTTAATGTCGTAATCACTTAAGGTTCTATATCAAATACCACATATTTAAGAGGTCAAAATTATTTAGTAAGAAAAATACATGATTTATGATAAATATGATAAAACATATCACTTTAATGCATAAAACACAAAAACTTGATACCAACTTTTTGAGGAGAAAGATGATAATCTTAAACAGTTCATTTTTTTTCTTCTTACCCTGTTGCGTAGACAGCTCGCCTCCTCTTGGATTTTCACCTCAATGCTGCCGGTTCCGACCTTCATGCCCAGGTTCTTCAGGACGGCGGTGGCGAACCTCTTTCTCTGTCTGAACTCCGTCCCCCAGCTGGCAGAAGCTATGTCTGCAGCAACAGTTAACAACAGGTCATCAGTTATAGTACCATACCACATGTTGTATTTACTTTAACACCTTCTGCTGACAGGACACCACACTTCAAGAACCTTTTTGTCAAAAGACCGAAATAGTCCCCTCGCCCGCCTTTCAGAATGGCATAGTTTCTGTTGTAAGACAATTTTGTGAGTTCACTGAAAAGCACAAACAGAAGGTTACCTTTTCCAGAACCAGGCAGCGCATCAAGAAGGTAATTTGTCGGCCTGGAGGCGAACAGCTCGGACCTGTCCACGAGCGCGTCCTTGACGGCAGTGTAGCCGTTCAGAACCACCACATCTTCCATCCCCATCCTGACGGTGAAGACGTCCCCGTACTGCCACCTCCACGCCGTTAGCTTGAGGTGAGGCGCTCGGCCCAAGGCGAGGAGGTGCCCGAGAACAGGCACACGTCCTGCGGGGTAGGGAGGCAGGTTTCTGCGGGGTTTCAAGAGGAAACATGCCAGACTAAAGGCCGTACAGAAGACGAGAAAAGACTGCAGACTCAGCCCAGAGATCTGCAAAATCTCCCGGACGGACTCAATTATCCAGCCGACGATGGCGGCCATGTTTGTAGTAAAGAATGCAGACGGCATTTGTGCGCATGCGCAATATCCTTTGTGCGAGTGGCCTTGACAGGTCGTCTTACAACTAGCGCGAACCTGTTTTACGTTACCTCGATTTTGTGACGCGCCGCATTGAGTACTTAGAATGCTCCATACCAAAAGTCGTAGAAAGGTCACGATACGTCAAATGAGACCATACAATGTATCTCCGTAATCAGAAAGGTACAGAGAACCTTGTGTAGTTCAAACAATAACTTCAACTTATACTGGATCCACGGATTAACGCGTCAAAGTTCGCCCTTACTCAGAATTTAGGCGGTTTCCGCCATGTTGTTTTTGACTGAAATACGCACCACATGGGGGTTTCGTGGCACCCGGTTGCGCATCTGTTTCCGGGTCACACTAGGGGTCACACTATCGAGTACACTGTCAGACGACGTGGAGTAGTACTCGACAAATTACGAGATTTCATACTTTGGATGTTTGAACAGCAACATACGAGAAGATGAATGAACACAATGAAGCTTCCAATTGAATTGAGGGAGACAGAAGTTGAGGAATAATTGCAGTCTTGGTCTTGTGAAAGAACTTAATACGACATTACAAGGTACAACAGTAACGTTACTGTTTCTTTTACGGCGACACAAAAATAATAGGTAGCTGCATTCACAACTTGCAGTATGCTGAGAATCTTCCTAGATTGGCATTTACTTACTTCACTTCCCTCAGACTTTTTGTACCGGCACCAATACATTGATAATTTATAACATCGTTCTTCTTCGCTGATAGCCTTCTACACTGAGGGTTTCTCAAGGTATTCTCTCTCTCAATGTATTGTGCATCGAATCGTAATATTAAAGCAAGAATTCTTTATTTTCCCAGAGCACGTCTTTGTTACATACAATAACTTAGACATTTTAGATGAAGCAACACTAATCAAAACAATTATAACATATTCTAATAATAGGGGCCTCGTTACCGGTAAGAATATATAGAAAATACTTCACCCACAACATCTTAAGAACAGTAATCCAAAGCCTAATGTTCAGTGTCACATCTTAACTATTGTTCACCACTACTATCATCTGCACCACTTAAACACACCTAGACAAGCTACAAGTGATCCAAAAACGACACTTTTGATGCCAGACAAAACAATTATAACATATTCTAATAATAGGGGCCTCGTTACCGGTAAGAAGATATAGAAAATATTTCACCCACCAGAAACAGTCATAAACTGTCACACCCCGTACGAACTATCAGATAAAGGAACTCTCCTGTTCCGTACGTGTGCAGTCACTTTAGAGAATTTCCACCTGTGTCATTGGAATGACATAGCCCTAAGACGGCATATATTTTACCTGTGTCATTGGAATGACATAGCCCTAAGACGGCAGATATTTTACCTGTGTCATTCAAATGTTATGGCCGTGAGCAACAGAATGCCCACCTG